TCTATATTTTAACCCCGATCCAAAACGTCAGCTTTCACTAACGCCGGGGTCTCTCCTTAGAAACGCAAATCCAAGATGAAAACGGGAAAACTTCATCTCAAGAGGAAGCCCCTGTCTTTGCTTCATGGCACATAACAGGCACTCAGTAAAGCTGAGTGGATGAGTGGCTGCGGAGTGGCCACAGGCCTTCACAGGGACGGACGTCTGATGGGAACTCAGGGTCTCCCGGCAACGCAGATGCTGCCCTCTGGCCCTCAAGCCCCTTAGGAGAAACCACTAATTGATTAAACAGTGGTCTCAGTAAGGGGCATTTGACCATGTCTGGAGACATTTCTGGCTGTCGAACCTGGGAGAGGGGTGCTGGTATCTAGTGGGTGGAGGCCAGGGGTGCTGCTAACACCTTACAGAGCACAGGCCGGCCTTTCCTGCCTCCCAACAAAGAATTACTGGGCTCAGAATGTCACAGTGCCAAGGCACTGTCTCTATACCCTCACTTGATTCAAGCAAGTGTCAAAACAGCATGTGCCAGGAAAACCCAGGGAAACCTGGGTGTCCTGTGAGTTTCTGATATTTTCTCATATTTGTTTGAAACAGGCTGGAGAAGAGGAAACAGAGGCTCGGTGACTCTGGCCAGTGGGTGGTGTGAAAAAGACAGCTGTCACCGTAGATACCACCAGAGATGGGCCCAGGGCAGGGGCACCTCCCAGGACCCTCAGGAAACGCCTCCCGCGTGAGCAGACACCGGATGGCCCCAGGTTCAGTCTTTCCCGAGAGAGACAACTTAGCATCCAGCTGGGCCCCAATTTTGAGATAACAGCCAGAGGAGAAAGACCGGGGGTCATCTCCGAGACGCAGCTGAACTGAAATGAGGTAGATGAGGTTGCCAGGAAAACCGGGTGCCAGGAGTCCTTTCCTCAAAAGTAGCCGCGTCAAGCTCCAAGCTGTCATCTGTTAGGCTGTCACTCGTGCTGCCTGCTTTTAATCCCAGGACCCCTGGCTTTTTAAAAGAAAGGGTTTTCCCACGGGTATGTTTTGGGAACACTGAATTGCCACCAGACAGCAACCTCATCCCTTGACTCTCAGAAAAAAATGGGGCCCCAGGAGTATCCTGTTACAGTCAAGCCCACTCCATTCAACATCCTGAGAGCAGACACGAAGGGGCTCTGACCATTTCCCCCAGCCCCCAATTTCAAGGAGGACCTGCCCTGGGGCCCAAGTTCCAAATTCAAGAGGCTCGCAGGTGTGCAGTCCAAGAGAAACCACCCTGGCCTGGGGCTGGTGTGGGTTTTGGACCTTGGGCAAAACTTTCCACAGTGGGCTTTCCTCATCTATAAGCCAGGGATGTGAACCCCGAGCTTGCGCAGGCTCCTCTCAGGTCTGAAATTTGGGGTAGCTGAAGACCACACAGGGGAACCGGCAGTGGGTGGGAAGCCGGGTCCAGCCCACTGACCTCCAGCCAGGCTCAGCAGGGCAGAGACCCTATCCTGAAAGACTAGAATTTTAGATTTCATCCATCACGGTCTCATTCTTCAGATGAGGAGAGTGAGGCCCATCATGGCTTAAGGACCTACCAAGGTATCTTACAGGATAGGAGCCACGTGGACACTGCCTCAAAGCCCAATTCCAAACCATCCATCAAGTTCTAGTTGCAAACAACTCCCAGCACGTACTAGGTGAAAAACAGCAGCCACTACCAGTTAAAAGAAAAACCAAGTAACAGCTTTTTTCCTTTCTTTTTTCCTCCCCTCGCTTCCTTCCTATCTTTTGGTGTAAAGAAACTCCAGGAGACACCAGGCCTAACTACTTCCTCGCCCTAGTCCTTCAGGGAAACCTGATGAAAACAAACTGTTACAGTATACCTGCATTTTAAAGACTGGTTGGTTCCCTGGCGCCTTGCAGCTTTCTTCCAATAAGTAGGGGGCTGTGTATACACAGAACACAGGACTAACTGGGGCACCCAGGGGCCAGCTGGAACCAGCTAGGGTTCCAGGTATTAACCCCAAGGGTCCTACTTACTTAAAGGCTGCCAGGGGCGGCCGGGCAAAGTGCAGAGGGTGGTAGCAAGGCATTTAGCAAGAGGCCTTGATGTCAGGTCAAAAACATCATGAAGGACTGATGAGCCTAAGAGAGGGCAGAAATAAGAACTATGCTTGTTTTTTTGTTTTTTGTTTTGTTTTGTTTTTTAAAGTCCTGAACCATAAAGAGAGACAACAGCAAATGTTGCACTGTGCCCAGCCCTTGGAATAAGGGTAACATGAGGATGTGTGCCCCTCGAGCAGGAGGTCCCCAAGGCAGCTTTACAGAACAAAGGGCAAAAAGTGAGGCAACCAGGGCCCTGAAGCAGCAATCCATCTAAGGCAAGACTCTCCAAACGTGTGCGAACGGATTTTCATAACATCCTCGTGCATTTCATTAGCCTCCTGAGTTCACAAAAGGCCTCTGGGAAGGCAAGTCGGTTCCGCAAACGCTGGCTCTGGGCAGGTCCTCCTGGCACCTCGCTGGTCTGGCGCAGGCCGGCTGGAGGGGGTAGGGGGAGAGCTATCCGTTCCAGGCTGGGATGGAGTGTCCAGGTGGATGGATGGAAAGACCCACCGCCAAAGCCCAACGAGCCTGGTTATTTTTACCACTCAAAGCTCAACTGTATAGGCTCAGGGGCCACAAACTGGCAGCTGCCTGCGGACACTTGCTTATGAGGTGCCCAGACACTGCCTTCATTCCATGGCGGCTGCTTCCCAGCTCCGGGCCCCAGCTAGGGGCAGCCTGGCCCCGGCAGGGAAGGGCTGTGTGCCCCTTCACCTGGGGTGCTTCTTCAGAGTGGGAATGGGGAAACGAAAGCTCCGGGAAGCAAAAGGTCCCCGAAAAGATGGGCTGGGGGACAAGGTGTAGGCTAGAAGCTAGAAGCCAGAACCCGGGAGGTGGTGGTTCAATTCCCTGCTCAACCAAATGTCCACCTGGGTGGGCTGTGTGTGCAGGAGTAGGGACTTACTTATCTGAACTTTTGGGTGCACAGGCGGCTGCGTTAGCTACAAGGTTCAAAACCCCACTCCCCACCGTTGGTCCACTAACCCCTTTTAGGGCCAGGCAGTCCCAAACACAAACAGCCCCAAACTTTGACTCCTTTGTAACCACGGCTTCAGCCAGACTGAACCAAGCTGTCCAGACAGAGGCTATTTATAGGTGCGTCGAGGACACAGACACTGGCACAATGACACACACACATTCAAGATCCACGCTGGGCCAGACGCGCCAGCGCTGAGCCCTGGATTCAGACACCTGGACACACACGGCCCGCAGATCCGGCCCAGCCAGACCAGACCCCCAGAAAGACGCACACGCAAAGAAAGGCACCCCGGCCCGCACACGGGAAAGACACACAGAGAGAGGCAGGAAGACTCGGAGGCACGCACTTTTGGGCAAGACCGCGACTCAGACCCCCAGACACCCCGAGAGACGCCGAAGACCCAGACAGAGCCACGCAGCCACGCACACTCCACAGACGCACGGACATCCACTCAGAGCCCGAGACACAGCGCCGCGAACACTCCAGACACACGCCCGGAGCCCCAGACACCTCGCAGACCAGACAGTGTCTCACACGCCCCTCCACCTCCGCCCAAAGTTGATAAAGAGCCGGCCTAATTGCTCCATCGCGACTGCCCCTTAGGGAAATAAAATGGAAACTTCACGGATCCGCCCGCACCAGCCCTCCCGCGCCGTGCGCCGCCGCTGGGCCCCGGGTCCGAGTTAGGGCGGGCGGGGCGCGGACAGCGGGGGCCGTGCCAGGCTCGCAGCGCCGCGGGACAAAGCCGGGCCGGCCGCCAGCTGCCGCGAGCCGGGAGGGCGCGCCCGGGGCGCGGCGGACGCTGCCGGGGCGCAGAGCGTTCGGTCCGAGGGGGCGCGCACGGCCCGGACCCCCGCCCGCAGCTGTGCCCCGACATAGGGTCCGACCCCGACGGAGTCTCCAGGGAGGGGGGCGTGGGGTCACTCACTGATCTCCATGCTCTGGAACAAAGAGCGTTTGCAGTTGCACGTGCAGGAGACATTGGGCTGCCCGGCGGCGGCGGCGGCGGTGCTGTTGACCCCCATCAAGCGGTGCATGGACGGCGCGGCGGCGCGGCGCGGGGCGCGGGGGGCGCGGGGGCGGCCGGGGGGGGCTCCGGCCGGCGCCCGGAGCTGGGGCCCCGCATGCAGGAGGCGCGCGGCGGGGGAGGTGCGCCCCGGCTCGCCGGGCTCGGGTCGCCGCCAAGTTCCCGGGGCGCCGCGGGGCTCAACGCGCGGGACCGCGCTCCTCTGCGCCCCCCCCCGGCCGCCCCTCGGCAGCCCCGGGGGCGTCGGCAGTGCCCGCGGGTGGCGTCCGGAAAATGGGCTGGCAGCGGGGCGCGCGCTGCCGCCGGGGCTGAGCCTCTGCCGCTAGCTTTCCCCAGCCGAGCGCCTCCGCCGCCGCCGCCGCCGCCGCCTCCTCCTCATTCAAGTCCAAGGAGATCGGGTTTCGCTCCGAGACCGCGGTCGGAGGCAGGCAGACGGTCTGACGTCAGCGCTAGACGGGGCTGCCGGTTCCCACCACGCGGGGGCCGGGGAGGGGGCGCGCGCTGCGCCAATCCCCGCCGAGGTTCCCCCGCACCCCCTCCCCGAGCCGGGGGGCGGGGTGACGGGAAACGGGGCGGGCTCTTAAAGGGCCAGAGCTAGGCGGCCCACGTAGACCCGGCACCCGCGCAACGGAGGAGGGGCGCTGTGCCCTCTCCCCAACGGCGGTCAGCTTGGAACGCCAGCCCGGCGCACGCCCGCGGCCAGGGAGCCGAACTCGGTGCCAGCCGCACCCGGGCGGGTTGCTGGTGCGCCCTCCCCTCGTCCCCGTCCCTGGGGTCCTTGACCCAGGCTTTTGGGGCTAGCCTGTCTTCTGAGGAGCACAAGGTCCCTGGGGGCTCAGGGAAGAGAAATTGGAGAAAGGGGGAGGAAGCCCCCAAGATGGATCACCCATTGCCTGATTTCGCAGGAGTCTGTCCGCCTTCAGTTCTGCAGCAGCTCGGGAATCATGGCCCACTGAGCCCCGAAGCGCTTTCACCCGAACCCAAGGAGGACGACCAGGAAAGACGGGAACTCGCGTAGACACGCCCGGAAGCCCTTGTCATGTAAATAGCTGTCGGGGACTAGTGTACTGTCGCCGCCCCAGCCGGCGGGACCTGGGGCGAATCCACACCCATTGTCTGCTGCCCGAGGGGCCACCGGCTGGGGGGCGCGGCGCTGGAGTTCAAAAGGGATATGAGCAGGAGGGGTGTACTTTTATTTCATTAAGTTTTAATTACAGGAGTGCTACAAGAACACATTCTTCTGGTTTAAAAAGATATTAAAATATTACATAAGAGACCTCCCCTCCCTGGCCCACCTCCAGCCTCTTAAGAATTTAGTGTGTCGCCTCTTAGACACTTTCTCAAAGCTTCACTTATTTAACAAGCACTTAAGGAGCACCTACCTGTGCCAGAAACTCTCCAAATATTAACTCAACCTGACACCGACTCAGTGTGGCCGAATGTCATTCTCCCCATTTTACAGAGCGGGAAGCTGGTCAGGGAAGTTGCTTGTTGAAAGTCACACGGCGGAGGAGCCTGTGTTCCAACCCAGGACCCTGGGGTAGCTGCCTCTCCCTCTCCCACATAGTCCTGATTCTTTAAATATCCACATATTCCGGTAATGCCTGGAGTTTTAGTAATTAGCAGGGACTTAGTGTGTGTTCAAAGCAAACAAACAAACAAAAAAAGCTTTTAAAAAGTGTTATTGTGTTGGTAAACAGTTTGGATAGAGAAGGAAAAGCTGGAATTTGGGAAATGAAGGTGGCCTCAGGGGAGAACTTACCTAGACCAGAGTGAATTCATCCTTCAGAGAAAGCCGGTGCAGGAAGTGGGTTCCTGCTCTCCCTGCCGAGGCACAGCGGTGCCGCCAGAGCTCCCCCAGAAAGACTGGGAGGCCTGTTCTGGAGAAGTCAAGCCCAGGGATGTGGCTCAGGCTGGTCCAGGCTCTTTGGAGGAGTCCAAGAGTGCCCAGCCCAGAGGGAGGTTCAGAGTCACTGACCATCTTCTGTTTGAGAGGAGACGCTCACTCTTGGAGCCACAGCCAGCACTAGATCAGGACCCAGGCCCTGACCCAGGAGTGGGGCAATACCCAGGGTCTACCCCAGATGGCACCCTGCTGTGAGCTGGGCTCCCTCAGCCCCTGCCTTGAGGAAGGGGCAGTATCATCAGCGTGTCTTTTATCAGGGGAAGATATTGCTGCAGTTTGGCCTCTGCAACTTAAGAGAAAAGCTGAGGGGTCCTGAGCGGCCCTTGGGGGACCACTGCAAATATTGGCTGGGCCTGGAGATAACCTGGGTCCCATTCACTTCCTAGGGTAAAGGAGGTCATCTTTACCACTCCTGCTTTCAGCCATTTCTTCATTCATTCAATCAACTAACTCTGGCTGAGCTGCAACCCTGAGCCGAGGGAATTCAGCCATGCCAGACCCAGCCCCTGCCCTCCGGGAAGTCTCGGGAGACCTGGCTAGTCTGGCTGGGAGAAGTCACACGTTGATTGTCTTGGAAGTGAGATGGCGTTTACACAATGGAGGCTGCACTGCCAGCAGGCAAAAATAACCAGTTAATTCAGTGGATTAAAGGAACCAAACCTACCCACAACACTTGACCTCCCATTGATCTGTCTGCGACAACGGCAGTGGCTACCATTTATTGAGTGCTGATGGTGTCACCTGGGATTGACTTAGTGGTCTCTGGCGCTAGTTCCAAAGTTGATTCTGTCTGGAGAGCTTAAGGCAGTGTTCAGAACTGAGGGTCCAAACCTGAGGGTCACCCAAAGATGAGTGGGACATAACTGTGTGACCTTGGCTGAGTGCTTTCACCTCTCCAACCTCAGTTTCCTCTTCTGCAAAATGGGTGGCTTCATGGCACCTTCACATGGTGTGATTGCGAGGAATGAAGGGATTGATGCCTTGCAAATAGAGAAGAAAGGGCCGGATACATCTTAGTTGTTATGTTAATCATCTTGGCAACCCTGGGAGGGAGGAACCACTATCATTTTATTTTCCATTTTACAGATGAGGAGAGTGATGATTCCAGCACAGACAGGGCCCCTGACGGGGCAGTAGGAAAGGAGAATTGCTTTGGAAGGAGCATAGGCTGGACTGCCAGCATTCACAGGAGGCTTCCTGTGTGCCCAGGACTGCCAGAATTAAATACAGGACACCCAGTTCAGTTTGAATTTCAGATAAACTATGAATAATGTTTAGTATAAGTATATCTCAATTTAACTGGATAGCTTGTGTTTTTCTTTGCAAAATCTGGTAACCCTAGATGTGCCAGGGATTGTGATGCTGGCAATTTGGGCATGAGGGGCAGAGCCCACTGTCAGGCACAGGCAGAGGAGGTCACAACTCCCTGATTCTACCCAGGGGAAATGGGCACAGCCAAGGTGTTAATGGGCTGAGGAGGGAGGGCTCCCTGCTGGGAGTGGGAGTGGGGAAGGGGCACCACGATTGGGCAGGCCTGAGTCCCTGGGAAGAAGGCCACAAGTCAGAGGTAAAAGAAAGGTTTTGTTCACTCATTCAACAAACATTCTGCTCCTATTCAGTGTGAAGCTCTGTGCTGGGTATTGGGCACAGGGCTGGGAAGAAAACAAACTCCCTGACCTCGTGTGACATTGTAAGGGACAAAGGGACTAAAGACACACATGCAAACTCATAGGCCAATGTGGTCAGGAGGTCATTTCAGACATGGTGATGACAGGCCAAAGGCCAGAGTTGGGGTGAGATCAAGGAAGCCCTCTCTGAGGAGGTGGCATCTCATTCCACCTGTAGTTACCGGCCACCCACAGGTGCAGCCCCAGCCATACTGAGGTTCACAGGTGAGGCTGACATCACACGTGTAAAAAGATGAGTCCAGGTGGTAATTTCAGAGGGACGAAACCTGGGAAGAATATAAAGGGGGAGGGTTTGGAGGCGATTTGAGCCCAAAGGGTTGGGTTTCCTCTCTGGGGAGATGGGGGCTGCGCATGTAGGGAACAGTGGAGAGGGGGTGCCAGGCCAGTGGGGGTATCAGGAACTAGGAGACTCTTATGGTCCCAGTAGGTTTAGAGTTTGGGACACATTTCCCAGCCTGGCTGTGGCCGTGGGGTTGTGAAATGGGTGTGTGAAGCAAATGGATTGTGAAACAGGTGACTGCAGAGACAGGCCTTTCTGGGACTCCAGACAGCGTGTGCCACCATCCGCCCTGCCCATGGGTTTAATCTGTGGTGGGGGGATATTTCCAGAGGAAATGTCCTGTTTCAGCAGGTAAAGGGGCTTCGCTCCCAGCGGCGCCGCACCTCTGTGCTGTGCCAGACTTGGGCGCAGAGCCAGCTTTGTGGGAGGGCAGCCCCCTGCACTCGCCAGGGCCACATGCTCTGTAGGGTCGGGGGTTTATTGTATTATTTTATTTTATTTTTTTGTTTAGTGTACTTCTCTACTGTTGACCTCTTGAAATTCCTAATAGTTAACAATTTCTAAACACGGGGGCCTGCAAATCTGTAACCAGTCCTGCTCAGATGCCAGGCCCCCACTGGCAGCCAGTTGGGACCCCGTGGAAGTCAGTGTGGGTTTTGGCCACAGCCGAGGGTGGCTGGCAGTGTCCTGACTGTGCCCGCTGGCCGAGGGTGGCTGGCCACTGTGGAAAGTGCCTGGCTGAGCCAACAAAGATCCTGCTTGGGGAGCTGGTTGTGGGCACAAGGCAGAGGCCCTTCTCAGGGCCATCTGTGCCCCGGTCTGCCTGCCACCCCCTGGCCTGCCTAGATGGAGCTGCCTCTGCAGAATTAGTCTTGGGAAACCTTAAGCAACTTAGTGACCTCGCCTCCCAACTTAGCACCTTCGGAAACGGCATCCAGCAGGCTCATTTTTTTCCTCAGGTTGGGGTTAATTGGAGCTGTCAACTTTCGCAGGTTAGCAACTTTGGACTTCATTTGTGTTTTGTTTTGTTTTGTTTTTCTCTTGTTTTACTTTTAAACACTAGTAAGAGCCAATGTTTATTGGGCACTGCCCATGCACCGTGCCAGGCCCTGTTCTAACCACTTCACATTCTTCCACTTAGTCATTCAACAAATATGCATTGGGATCCTACGGTGAGCCAGAAATTAGCTCACTGGATCCCCACAGCAACCCTCTGAGGTCCAAGCTAATATTATTCCCATTTGACAGATGGGGACACTGAGGCTCAGGGACCCAAGGATGAGGTGGAGCTGGGATGGGAATCCAGTACTTGGGCCCCAAAGCCCATGGGTTGGCCTCAGCAAATGACGCCTTCTGCACCCCCTCTCCCTCCTCACTGCCTCTGACTGGGTCCTTCCTGGCCGTCCTACTGGACTCGGTTGGCACTGTCCCCCTTGGCTCCATGGAGGCTCCCTGGGATCCACCACTGGCCTCACCACTGGTGGTGTTCGTTCATAAAAACGCATTTCCAACGACGAGGGCAGCTGACTCTGCAGTGGAGTGAGGCTGGAGGGGCTGGGGTGGTGAGAGAGGCCCCGTTAGCACCTGCTCTGGATCCGGCGTGGGCGGCCTTGGCAGGCTGCTCAGCTCACTGAACCCGCATCCCCTCTGCCACTGAACAGGGAGGAGCGGGATTTCACAGTGAGGGAGAGGCAGCGTGGGGAGGCCTCAGCACAGGGCCCAGAGGCCCCTGGACTCGGTGTCTGTGAGTTCAGCATCCCCTCTACTTGATTGGTAGCTCCAGCAGGCAGGCCACTCTGGCCTGCAGTGGGTGCTTGGCAAACCTCTGTGGAGTAAATGTGGGAGGGGCACCTAGCCACAAACACACTCAAATCTCATTTTTGGCTGCCTTCATGACCAGCTAACAAGTCTTCCTGCTCACTCACCCTTTCCACCTCCAAGTATCCTTCCAACCAAGTATCCTTCCAACCGAGTATCCAGAAGCCAGTCACCTGGGCTAACACCTACCGAAAAGATCGAGAAGAGTTTGTATGGTATCGACCAGAACCAGAAGTCTCAGCCAGAAAGACGTGTTGTGCATGTGTGGTCTACACTGTGAGCTTGTGGGTGTGTGTTGCATGTATATGTGGGACGTACATGTGCATATTCATGCTGTGGGGGTGTTTGTATGTGTGTGGTGTGTGTTGTCTGTGTTGAGCGTTTGAGGGTGCATGTGGTGTTGTACATATGTGTGGGGTACGCATGTGAATACTTGTGCTGTGAGGGTATGCGTGTGTTGTGCGTCATCTGCGCGCGTGTGTGCACATTTTCTTGGTTGCATTGTGTTTGTTTAGGCACTGATACATGAGCTTTGCTGCTGGACAGATGTCAGATGGTTGAGTTCTCCAACAGCAATCCAAAGAAGCTCAGCTAAATTGGCCACAGATGACACCCCCACCTCCACCCCGGGGTGCCATCCCATTCTCTTCTGTCCAATTTTTCAATTTCAGCAGGGAACTGGATTCTTCCCCAGAAGACAGGACTGTGGAAGCCAGGCAGGGAGATAAGGGGTGGGCAGAAGGAGAGGACAGAAGGGAGCATTAGAGCCAATTTTGTCTTCTGACAGATGGGTAAACTGAGGCCCAGAGAGGGCCAGACTTGGACAAGATTCAAGGTGCCAGAGAAAGGCAGAGCTGAGCTAGGATCCATCCAGTGTCTGACAGCGGCCCAGGCCCCACAGGGTCTTTGGTTACCTTAAATAGCTTAATACAGGCCTTTCTAGCACAGGTTGAGCTTGAGAGGGAAATGGAAGATTCCAGATGTTTAACTCATGTCTGAAACACTTTCTGAAAGAACTATTAGTCATTCAAGCTGACTTCATGGACCAGAAACAACCAAGAAAAAGTGTTCTGCGTCTCTCTTGTCATAAATGACACATTGTACTGTTGTTAGGAGTAATTAATAATATAAAACTGCCTCTCAATGACATGAGAGAGATTTAAGAGAGGTTGGCCCTTTGTGTTCCGCTGCTGGGTTTGAGGGGAAGCAGGTAGAGTGGGCTGGGTGTGACAGCAAAGACCACACTGATCACAGAGGACTCCGACATGACTGTGTCTGCCTGGCTGTGTGCAGTGCTAATGCTGGGCACCTCACCTGGCACGGAGACTATTCTATACCTCGTGCCAGGCGCTGCAACAAGCCGTGGGACTGCACAGTGACTAGCGCAGGCCAGCTCTGCCTCCACAGTTTCCCCTCTGATGGGCTTACTCACTCATCTGCCCATTTCCCCAAAAACTGAATTCTGCATGCGGAAAACGGCGGGGTCAGGCAAGTATATGTTACCACTTCTGTGTGCCCTTGCTGGAGAAAGTGAATGAGCTACTCTGGGCCTCTGTTTCTTCAACTTAAAAGTGGAGATCTGACAGGTATCCACACATAGGGCAACTGCAAGAATTACATGGGGAACTCACGCAGGGCACTGAGCACAGGGCCTGGCTTGGAGCAATCTCTTGAAAAAGTTAATTACAGTAGTCCCCCCGCCCCCACCACCCCATGCATGGCTTCCCTTTCCAAGGTTTCAGTTACCCATGGTCAGCCGAGGTCCAAAAATAGTGGGTACAGTACAGTAAGATATTTTGAGAGTGAGAGAGAGAGAGGGAGAGACGACACCCACATAATTTTTATTACATTATATTGTTATAATTGTTCTATGTTATTGTTAGCTGTTGTTGTCAATCTGTTACTATGCCTAATTTATAGATTAAACCTTATTGTAGGTATCCACGTGTATGAAAAAACAGAGTATATAGGGTTCGGTGCTATCTGAGGTTTCAGGCATCCACTGGGAGTCTCAGAATGTACCCCCCACGGATAGGAGGGGAGACTGATTAACACTACACACTGTGCATTCCAGGGACTCCCCGTCCTGGACAAAATACAAACAGACCCTTTTCTTCCCTTTGGAGAACTTATCCCAAATTATAATTTTGTGTGTGTGAATTTGGGAGTGGCTTCTTTCAGTGTCTCGCCCCAGCTAGACTGTGTCCTGTGTGTCCCCAGTGTCTGGTCTAGGAACACATGCTGAGATGTCTGCAAGGCATCCAGAATGCCAGGCAGGCACCGTGGGAGCCCAGAGGAACAGGGCATGACGGTGTCCAACAGTCCCCGCACGGGGGTGGCACCAGGAAAACACTCTGCGCCCTTCACCTGCATCTCCGGGCCAGGGTTGGAGACACGGTCCTGTCCCATCTGCACAGGTAGCCCTCAGGCCGAGTGAATCTGCCCTCAGTTTAGGGCTTGGGAATCGGTGTCCACGAGCTGGCTTCAAAGGCAGTGAAACTGGCATTGCGTCTTTGAAGGCAGCACGGGCTACATCTGTCTTATTCTCCGTGTCCACAGCCCCTAGCAGTGACTGGCATGTGGTCACGCCCAATAAATATTTGCTGAATGAATGATCGCAAAACAATTTTGCAATGTGGACTAGTCCCTTAAAGTATGAGTATCTGCAACCGGTAGGTCCATTTCTACCACATGTCTTAAATAAATAATCAGAGAAGTGAACAGAGTTTTAAGGAGAAGAACGTTGATCCTGTCTTCATTTGTAAAAGCAAAAGTGCAATGAAATTAAAAACAAATAGGGGATGCGTAAATAAGTCAGTGATCATAAAACTGTTCAAAACCATGTTTTCAAAATTATCTGACGATATAAAGTCTCATATAAACTAAATTTAAAAATAGGCTGCAGAACTGATCTCAACTTTGTACAAAAGTATTATTAGAAAAAGGACTGAAATGATATTTGCCAAAATATTAACAGTGGTCGGCTTTGTGTAATGGATTAAATGCAATATATTTCTCATATTGTCTGCTATATTTTCTACGATAAGCATTCATTTAGAAAAATTTTTAAAAATTTTTACTTAATAGCGCCGCTGAAGCAACTCGCAAGTCCTACCTCCTGCGGCTCCTTTAACAGCAGTCAAGACACCGAAGGGGGGTGGGGGGGGGGTGCCAGACAGGCTGACGTCATGGGCAGCCCGAAATGACACAGCAAACGAGCCAATCCCAAGTTTGGATTCCGGGAGAAGCAAGATCTATTGGATACAAGTGCTGGCGGCCTCGGCCAATGGTGGGAGAGGGGCCGGAGCCCGGCGGCTGCGTGGGTTTTAAATCCACGTGGTGGCTGCGGGGCTGGGCTCGGGGCTTCGGGGTTTAAAGGCTCAGGGTCCGCAGGGGCTGCAGCCCTGCAGTTGTGGCTCCGAAGCGCTTGTTCTTTTCTGGGAAAGGCGATTCCTCCACCACCTCTTAGGATCTTGGGCAAGTCACTCAGCTTCGCTGAGCCTGTTTGTATCCGTAGGGTTTTGTGAGGCTCCAGCCCTTCAGCAGACATTTCCTGGGCATCTACTGTGTGCCCGGCAGGGCCTTCTTAGATCAGGTATAAGGCAGGAGGGAAGCGTCGGGAGTCCCAGGCCTGCTGCGTCTCTAACCATGGGCAGGTGGCTCAGCATTACCTCCCCTTCTTCCCCACTGCTCTTCCCCATCCTGGCTTTTACTGTATCTCCTCTAAAAGGGTGTGAGCTCCACGGGGTACCCATGTGCCTTGAGGAAGGTCTGCCCCAGTTTGTAGTCAATATGTACTTTCTGAATAATTATCGCAAAGACTAGTTCTCAGCAGAGAGCTTTACACATAGGAGGTGTTTGATAAATGGCAATTGTTCATGCAATAAAGAACAACAGCAGGCCAGGTGCAGTAGCTCACGCTTGTAGTCTTAGCACCTTAGCACTTTAGGAGTCTGAGGCAGGATTATTGCTTAAGCTCAGGAGTTTGAGACCCCTGGGCAACGGTAGTGGGACCTTATCTCTTAAAAAAAAGAAAAAAATGAAAGAAAGACAGGAATATATCAGCCAGGTGTCTTGGTGCATGCCAGTAGTCCCAGTCAATTGGGAGGCTGAGGCAGGAGGATGGCTTGAGCCCAGGAGTTTGAGGCTGCAGTGAGCTATGATTGTGCCACTGCACTCCAGCCTGGGCAACAGAACGAGACCCTGCCTCCAACAGCAACAACAGCAAAGAAGAACAGATAGCACTGATGAAATGCCTATTAAGTGTAAAGTGGTGTTCTGGGCATTTCACATGTATTACATGCAATTTAATATTAACAAAATTACAAGTCTTACATAACTTAATATTCACAAAAAACAAATTAGGCACCATTATTATTCTTATTTTGCAGATGTGGAAACCAGGGCAAAGAGAGGCAAGGTAACTTTTCTAAGGTCATGTGGCTAGGAGGTGGTGGGGCTTGATTCAAATCCAGGTCTGTCTACTCCCGGAGCCCTTGTTCTTAACCACTGCACTATCCCAGTACTTGTCTAGTATTCAGCGTTTCTTTTCCAAGAATGTTCTAAGTTAGGCCTGTGCTAGTGGGAAGTGGAAGAGAAGGGGAGGATAGGAATCAGGTGGGTGAGGCAGAGCCAGGTGAGCTGGGGTCCTGCCCCCTATGGCAAGGCCCAGCCCTATGGGGTGGCATTGGACAGGAAGAGGGGCAGTGAGACAGACAGGCATTGGGGCCACATGTCCCGTAAATAGGCTACCTCCTTGCCAGGCCCTGTGCTGGGCTGGTGGGGCGCCGTGCTGGGCGTGACACACCCTCCCTGCCCTCAGGAGGCTGTCAGTCTAAACCAGCTACCATTAGTGGTGACCTGAACACAGCCTGCAGGAGGGGTTTTGGTTTTGCCTGCATGATATTTAAACATTTTTAAAACATGAATTGCCTCGGTCCACACCCCTCCCTAGTGTCACACGTCAGCTTTACTCATGTGTCCCACCGGCTCGTGAATGCCCTGAGCAGCTTTGTTCCCTTGTCTCCCCAAGCCAGCAGCCCGCAGAGGGGGGGCCCTCTGTGGCTGGCACACAGCAATTGCCCTGGCGTTCTTTGCTTTGCCTCCTGTCTGTGTTTGAAATCCCGAAATCACCACCTTGAGCTCTGAAGCCCTGCGACTCCGAGGCTGCAAACCCCTCCCTGGCCCCAGACGTGCAGCCTGCAGCTTGAATCTGAGGACTCTGGCGGTGGAGGCCAACTCCGAGTGAGTCAGACTTGGTTTTAAGTCCCAGCATCACTGCTAACCAGCTGAGTGACACAGGGCAAGCTAATAAAATCTGTGGGGTCTCAGTTTTTCTCCTCTGCCAAATGGGGATAATAGCTCCCTCTTCATCTGGTGATGGTGAAGGGTAAGTGCGTTGATGCAGGCTGAACACTTGGCACAGAGTAACACTCTTTCTTTGGAGGCAGCTCATGTAGAGCCATTGTCACTGGCAGGAAGTCCTTCCATACATCGGGCTGAGGTCTGCCTGCTTTATAACTTCCATCATTCGTTTTCCTAGCAGCATAAACGTGCTTCTCTTTCCATAGAACGGTCCCTCAGTAACCAAGGATCATGCTAAACATCATGGTGTTCTATTCAAGATCTGCTACATCATTTGTGGAGCCCAGTGCAAACTAAAAATGCCAGACTCCATGTTCAAACAATCAGCAAGAACTTCAGGATGGTGACAGGAGAGCTCTGAGCCTCTTCTGAGGGCAGAGCCCCACGTGGCTGCACGTTACATCCCTTGAAGCTGTCCCTGTTCTCACTGGGGGTCCATGGTCTGGCAGCATCCTCCAGTACCACAAGACAGGGTCTTTCCACAGCTGAGCAGGGCAAGGACAGTTTCTAGCTGGACCCAGGGGAGGCCACCTGCAGGTGTGGCCTCTATGTCTGCAGTTCACGGTGGGAATCTGGCTCACAGGACCCAGCCTGCCACCGTCCAGGGAGCCGCGGAGATTTGGGGATTTCTCCTCTGCAAAATGGGGAAACAGCTCCCTCTTCATCAGGTTCTGGTGAGGGTAAGTGGCTGATGTAAGCTGAATGCTTAGGCAGAGTAGTGTTTTGTTGTTGTTGTTGACAGCACATATATTGAGAGCAAAGCACACAAATCCAAAGTCGATCGTTTGATGACTTTTCACGTTGAATACACCTTGATCCTCCCGGATCAAGATCGAGAGCCTTCCCGTCACTCCAGAGAGTTTCCCGTTACTGCCCACCTCGTTTCCAGTTACTGCCCACCTGTGTCCCTGCTGAAGAGATAACCATGATTCTGACTTCCTTGACAGTAGATTTCTTTAGTCCATTCTTGACTTTCTATTGTTTAATTTTATTTTTGTATTTTTAGAGACAGGGTCTCACTTTGTCACCCAGGCTGGAGTGCAGTGGTGTGATCATGGCTTACTTCAGCCTCCATCTCCCCTGGGCTCAAGTGATCCTCCCACCCCAGCCTCTCAAGTAGCTGGGACTACAGGTGCACGACACCATGCCCACCTAATTTTTTAATTTTTTGTAGAGATGGGGTCTTGCTATGTTGCCCAGGCTGGTCTTGGACTCCTGGGTTCAAGCTCCCACCATGTCCTTCCAAAGTGCTGGGATTATAGGCAGGAACCAAGGCACCCAGGCTTGACGTTCTGTAAACAGAATCCTGTGGTATGGATTCTTCTGGGTCTGACTTCTTCAGTCACAGTTAGGCGTGCTAGGTTCACCCTTGCTGCTTTGTTCCTTTTCATGGCTCTGCAGCTTTCCTTTGTGTGCAGACACCACGACTTGTCCCTTCTCTTGTCATGGGCATGGGTTGTTCCCAGGTGTTGGCTCTTGCAGGTGGGGCTGCTGCGGACACTCGTACCATTGTCTCCTGGGTTGCTCCCTGCACACTTGTTCTCCTTTCTCTGGGGTCCTTTGCCAGGACTGGGAATGCTGGCAGAGGGTGGGCTTGTGTTCAGCTTTAGTAGATATTCCTGATCAGTCTTCCAAGGTGGTCATACCGACGCCCATTCATTGCCATCTGCAGTGGACGGAGACTTCCTGGTATTCCACATCCTCCCCAGCACTCGGTTTGCCGCTCTTACTAATGTAGCCATTCTGATCAGCATCACCCTTGGATTTTGCAGCTGACCTAAGGAGGCTGAGTGCCAAGACCTGAATTTGCTGCTCCTCACTGACCACTGGCGAGGGCTTTGCAGCCTGTGGCCTTCACCCTCAGCCCCTGGGTGCCCCTTCCCCTTGGAGACACTTGCAAATCTGACAAGCATGGGTTCTGTGACTTCATCTGAGTGACTGATGAGCACCCAGAAGAGGACAGACCCCACTGCAGAGAAAGCCGGGGCTTCCTCTTAGACAAGCCCCTCCCAGTCGTCGCATCTTTCACTCATGTCCTCTCCCAACAAAAGCGTGGAACAGAAAGGTATCTGCTCTTCACAGCGTCATATGCTCTATGTAAAAACAACTTTTGGGAGTAGAGGAGGGAGCAGACCAGACATTTGACCATGTTAAATTTACACCGTGATTGTAGGTTGCAGCCTCCTGCCTGAATGATTAAAATATGAAAAAAATACATCTCAGAAACAACAATAACAACCCCAGCCCTTATGGCGTACTCGCTACAGGGAGGCGCTGTGCTGGGGGCTTTGTAACCGGAGTGGCTCCATGTCAACTTCTCAGCAACCCTTGGAAGTTGGTGTTATCACACCATTTGACAGGTAAGCTACGACCTCCAAGCCTCAGTTTCCTTATCTGTAAAATGAGAGGGAGGCAGAGGGAGATTCAACATGTGCAGAGGAGGAGGCCACGGGAAGACAGAAACAGAGACCAGGTACAGGCAGAGAGCAGGCAGAGGGAGGCAGAGACAGAGACCGGGATGGAGAGGGAGAGGTAGAGACCGGGGTAGGGGGGAGGCAGAGACTGGAGGCAGGGACTGGAAACAGAGACCAGGCACGGGGAGAAAGAAACCTGGGAGGAGGCAGAGACTAGAGATAGAGACCCGGAGGAGGCAGAGACTGAAGTGATGCAGCCGTGAGCCAAGGGACACAGGCACACAGGCAGCCATCAGGAGCTGGCAGAGGCAGGTAGGACCCCAGTGGGGCCTCTGGAGGGAGCCTGGCCCTGCTGACACTTTCATTTTGCTCCTGCAATAACTGATTGTGAACTTTCGTCCTCTAGAACTGTGAGAGGATCAACGCTGCTTGAAGCCACCAGTTTCTGGGAATTTGTCACAGCAGCCCAGGAAACACATGCGCAAGGTTTGGAGATTGGTCTTTCCATGTCTAGGGTGCATGGTGCCCATTTCAACACTCTCTGCCCTCAGTGGCACATTTAGGCCACGCTGACTTCGGCAATGGTGAGGGAAATGCAAAGGTGAGCCAAAAATACCTGGTCGCTATCTCTGGGGGGACGTAAAACAATAGCAGCTCATTCTCTCAAAGTCCAGGAGGCCAGAAGTCTGGAATCACGATGACAGCGGGGCCAGCCCCTCTAGGGGCTCCAGCGAGAATCTGTCCAGTGTTTCTCTCCCGGCCTGGTGGCTGCTGGCTCCTTTGGCGATGTGTGGCATGTGGATGCGTCACAGAGATCGGCAGGCAGATCTCTGCCTCTGTGCATGGTCTTCCTCTCCGTGTGTGACTCTCTGCGTCTTCACTTTGGCTTCTCATAGGGACATCAGTCACTGGATTTAGGGTACGCTCAAATCCAGTATGACCCATCCCAACTCAAGACATTTGAAAAGACCCTGTTTCCAAATATGGTCACATCTGAGGTCCCAGGTGGATATGAAATTTGGGGGACACTACGCAACCCAGCACCATCCTTTTTTGTGGGAGTCACCCACTTTGGTTTCTGAAATGGGGACACACGTTACGGTGGAAATGAGCACTCGGGGCTGCCTGTCTCGGAAAGGTTGTTGAATCAATGGCACGTTGATTGCTTCAACAATCTAGGAAATACTACGTAAGCTTTCTTTAAACAATGCCGGTATGGCCACAACACCCCCCAGAATCCTACCATTCATTCATTCACTCACTCATTTACTCATTCATTCATTCATTCAGTGTTCAGTCCCTATGATTTGGTTATGACCAAAGCAGACACAATCACTGACCTCAAGGAGCATGTGTTCTGGTGTAAGAACTGACGCTGAGGTACCCCTGACTCTTTGCTTATTCCTCTGACAGCAAAAGTTGTCAGGAAAACAGACAGAAACAAAACATGCCCACTCTGGACCGAATTGTAAATCTTTATCCCTTTCTCCTCACCTAAAGCCCAACAAAGCAATTTGAAATTCCAGACCTGCGACCACTGGAGAAGATCACCTTTCCCCAATGAGAAGCAGATCAACATTGGCTCAGGCTGAATCTGGGAGACAGACAAGGTCTCCTTTCAACATCGTGCCTCCAGGGAAACCAGGCCAAGTATCGGCCCTCCAGAGGCAGCTGCAACTCTTGGAGACCTCCCCACTGAGTCCATACCCCTGGCCCAGGGCACTCAGGCTGCTTGACCAGCCCTGCCCCCTGGCCAGCCTCATTTCTCCTGTTCTCTTGCTCGGTGCCCCTAGCAGCAGTCTTGCACCTGGTCCACTGCCTCCCACGCCAGGGCCTTTGCCTTTGCTCTTCCCCTGCCTGGCATGGTCTCATCATTCAGGGCTCAGCCTGAATGTCACCTCCTCCTGGAAGCCTTCCCCTGGTCTCATTATGTCCTACCCTATCACCCTGTTTCTTTCCCTTGGGTCACCAGTAAGAACCTGGATTGAGTGTGTGCAGCTGTCTTTTGTTGTCTTTGCCTCACTAAACTGTAAACCCTTTGACAATAGGGATCTGTCTGGTTTGTCTGCCGTGTAACCCCAGCTTCCAGCCTAGCACAGAGAAGGCTCCATGGAGACACTGACTGTCAGATGACTGCAGACCTCCCCACAAGGAGGAGGGAAGCTGGCCTCCAAGGAGGCGTATCCCACGGTGTAGTGGTCTCTGGCCGGGGTGGGTCATTACGCCGTTGGTTTATAGTGCCATTTGCTTCGGCCCCTTTTGGTGGCATCCCAGGGTTCAAAATGACCGAGCAGCTAGTGTGGGGAGATGGGACACAGTTGTCTGAGGTGAGGGGGTCTGTATGTGCCTCTCCAGCAGGGAACAGCCTCGGACATCAGAAACCAGATTTCAGCATTTAGGATGCAGCCAACAGCCAAATTGCTTTCTTGGTTTTATATATGGGGGCTTTTTTTGGTACCATAAGGGCAGGTGGACAGGGCTGCCTTTGCTTCCTGGAGGGTCTGGTTCCTTTCGGGAAAGGTCTCAGTTGGCCAGTAGAGAAACAGCACTGAGTCGGCCCATGTGGCCAGCGAGCACCCCTGTGCTTATGACCGAGGACGGGCTGTTACTCTGTTCTGCAGGTCTGGAAGTCATTTGGTCAAGTGGACTTGGGAAGGAGAGAGGGAAGGGCAGACAGCATCCATGGAGACTGTCACAGAGAATGGAAAGAGAATGGGATCTGCAATCTAATGAGCTGGTATATCTCAGCAGCAGCAGCAGCAGCAACAACAATAATATGGAATTCAGGCCAGGCATGGTGGTTCACGCCTGTAGTCCTAGCACTTTGGGAGACTGAGGTGGGCAGATCGCTTGAGCCCAGGAGTTTGAGACCAGCCTGGGCAACATGGTGAAACCCCGTCTCTACACAAAATACAAAAATTAGCTGGGCATGTTGGCATGTGCCTGTAGTCCCAGCTACTTGGGAAGCTGAGGCAGGAGGATTGCTTGAGCCCAGGAGGTGGAGGCTGCAGTGAGCCATGTTTGTACTACCACACTCCAGCCTGGGCGACAAAGTGAGACCCTGTCTCAAAGTAATACTAAATACTGAGTTCATCTTGCATTCCTGCTACATGCTGAGCACTGCTCCGGCGTTCACCTGAATTACTTTACACAGTTCTCGTGAGAACCCTATGAGGTAGGTCTCAGTACTGTCCCTTTGTACAGACACGGAAGTGGATGCCCAGAGAGGGTCACTTGCTCCCATTTTTTTACTTTTTTCTTTTTTTTTTTGAGACAGAGTCTGGCTCTGTTGCCCAGACTGGAGTGCAGTGGTGTGATCTCTGCTCACTACAGCCTCCACCTCCCAGGTTCAAGCAATTCTCGTGCTTCAGCCTCTTGAGTAGCTGGGACTATAGGCGTGCACCACCATGCCTGGCTAATTTTTGTATTTTTAGTAGAGACAGGGTTTTGCCATGTTGGCCAGGCTGATCTCGAACTCCTGACCTCAAGTGATCTACCCGCCTCGGCCTCCCAAAGTGCTGGGATTACAGGCGTGAGCCACCACAGCCAGCCGTCAGTTGCTCAGTTGGTGAAGTCAGGATTCTAATTCTGGCTATTGAAGTTTGAAACTGAAGTTCCTATCCATTAATGGAAGAACCCAGATTTGGGAGTTTCCTGGAAGACCCACCTAGGGTGGGAGGTGAATTGATTGGAGCAACACCGACAATGCCCACAGTAACAACCCCAGGGACGCTAATAGCCTGGCCGTGGGAGCAGCTGCTATGAACCTGGCCCGGAGCCGGGCCCTGGATAAAGAGCTTCATGTACTTCATTCCACGTTCCCAGCAACTTCCCACAGCCAGCACGTCACGGGTGCTTGGGAGGTGTTACTTGCATATTTGTTGACTCAATCACTGAACAACTCTAGGCGGCCGTTAATTTTATCGCATTTTGCAGAGGACAGCACTGAGACTCAAAGGAGCCAACTTGCCTGGTGATTGCCCCGCTCAGCGCTAAGGACCACTTCTGGACTGGGATGGCATTTCCATTAGGCAGCTGTGAAATTAGGCCAACCGGAAGATGTTGTGAACTTTTTGCAAAAAGAACTATTATTTCTGTTGCATTGATGTTAGAGATTCTCCTATGAAATGATTTTGATTGCAGAAAGTAACTTTAAAATGTTATTATTACTAACCTGTGGTGGTCTCTTGCCATCCCCTTCTGAAAAGTCATGCCAGTTGGTGAATTCTGGACATGTGGGAGCCACTTCTCAAGGTCACAGCATCCGGGTACTTGGAACGTGATCCCAGGTCTGGATGATCACACAACTCTGCCACCTAATCAGCTCCATAAACTAAAGGTGGGTGGTTTCGCCTTTCTTCGCCTTTTCGGGAAAGCAAGGCATTACAAGAACCAGCTCTGGTACATTCCTGAGAAACCAGGATGAAGTGCGGATTCCAATGCCATTTCCTGGCACATGGTAGACACCCTAGTGTAACCCCAGGGTCCCCCAGGCCTGAGGGCAGGCTTAGAAATGTCAGAAATCAACCCAGAGCAGAGAAATTAAGCGGGAGAGGCAAGCATGTTTGTGGGGAAAAAAAATGCCTGTGGGATGGAAGACTACAGTGATAGATGAAGAAGCAGAGGGCTTTGACTTCTGGTAACAACAACAGAAACTAAAGAAAATAGTGATGTACATGCACAGTTTGTCAGTGGAATGTCCCAATGCTGAAAGTAAGTAGGAATATAAGGGAACACTGGGGTTGGCACCAGGGAAAATACCTCCAGGCTGGGGGAAGTGATCCAGTGGCTTGCAAAGGTGGAAGAGGCAAGTCCAGCCAAAGTCGAGGGTTGGGGGAGGTTGCCTGGAGGATCCCTGGGTCTGACCACAGCTTCACTCTTGAAACTTGATCATCTCAGCTGCCTCAGTGGGTCTGGTTTCCTGAAAGCCGGGACAACTTAGCAGAGGTCCTTGGGCAAATCACTTCACCTCTCTGGGCTCAGTTGGCTCCTCTGTAAAATGGGTGGAAACATACAAATGCTGTTGTGGGGTAAAGCCCTTGGAGCAGTGCAAGGCACCAAGCGGCCACTCAGCTCTGCTTCCTGTCCCTTGTAGGAAGGAGACAAACCCCTAGTCCCTGTGGGTCCCTCCCCCAGCACCTGCACACGGGGTTGGGCAGACAGTGGGGAGAGAAGGGACCGTCCTGCAAGGTGAGGGGAACTTCAGACAGCAATTTCTAGAATCCAAGTTCTTCTCTGGGTTCAGTCTTGGGTTGGCAGCTGCCAGGCACTTCCGGGAAAGGCAAATAACAGAATTGCTGGTGTCGAGCGGTGAAATAATACAGTCCCAACAGTGCACGCATGTGCTTTGTAACTCATGAGATTTTGATATGCTTCCGGCTGTATCCCCAGGATACACAGCACTATGCACTGTGCCTGGTGCATAGCAGATGCTTAATTAACAACTTGAATCAAAAATTGAATATAGTTCTCAAGGGTGGCAAAGTACAGCCTGTGGGCCACATCCAGCCTGGTGCCTGCTTTTGTACTACCTGCCAGCTACGAGTGGCCTTTACATTTTTAAATGGTTGGGAAAAGGCAAAAGAATAATATTCTGTGGTACATGAAAACTATATGCAATTCAAAGTTCTGTGCCCATAAGTAAATTTTTCTGGGGTATGCAAACAGGCTCATTTGTTCACATATTGTCGATAGTGGCTTTTGAGCTATAAGGGTAAAGCTGACTAGTTGTGACAGACCTTTCAGCCCACGCAGCCTAAGATATTTACTCTCTGGCCCTTTAAGAAAAAGTCTGTGGCTGGGCACAGTGGCTTATGCCAGTAATCTCAATGCTTTGGCAAGCCGAGATGGGAGGATCGCTTGAAGCCAGAAGTTCAAGACCAGCCTGGGCAACAAAGTCAGAGCCTATCTTTACAAAAAAATAAAATAAAATAAATTAGCCAGGTGTGGTGGTACACACCTACAGTCCTAACTACTTGGAAGGCAGAGGTGGGAGGACTGCTTACGTTCAAGAGTTTGAGACCGCAATGAGCTATGGTTATACCACGGCACTTCAGCCTGGGCAACAGAGGAAGTCTCTGTCTCGAACAAAAAAGAAAAGATTTGCCAACCCCTGATCTAGACCAGTTGGTCTCAACTTTGGCAGCACGTTGGAATCACCTGAGAGCTTTAAAAATCCCGATGCACAGGCTTCAGCCTCAGAGATTCTGACTTAACTGGTCAAGAATGCAGCTGGGACGAAAGATTCTAATGGGCAGCCTGGGCTGAGAACACTCCCTAAGTGCTGGCTGTTAATTAGGACTCCTCTTTTTGGTGGTCAGTACCTCCCAAGCATGAACAGGGCATCAGAACACCATGGGAAGAGCAGCGCCAGGCTCCTTCCAGAGATCCCTGAGCTCAAACTTGCAGACTCTCAGGCTTGTGGGGCCAGGCAGGAACCAACATGGCGGAGTGAGCAGGTAACGGAGCGCGGCCTGTCTCAGGTCCTCTGTCTCCCTCTGGTCTCGGCAGATGGGCTCAGGAGGGTGTAGCTGCAGGGCTGTGTCTCCTTTGTGGGCCAGCAGCATCTCTACATGTTTCCTGGCACCTGGTACCATGTGCTGAGCGCTGGCCATCGTGTCCATCTATTTTGGTGGTGGTAGAAGCAGATCCCAGGTATCGAATGCTCCCTCTGTGCCCGGCAACTCTGTGCCACCCTACGAAGGGGGGAGCGTCTTTCCTTCTGCTGGAGAACTTTTCTGAGGCTTGAGGAGGGTAAATCACATTCCCACAGCTGCCTGATTCCTGCCAGCCTAGGGTTTGAAGTCAGACCCGTCGGGCTCCAGAGGCCACTCTCTGAGTCCCCGTGTGCTCCTGCCAACGGGAGGAAGAGAGAGCTAAGCCCGTCTCTCTCCTGGGAGGCTGGGGCGTCTGGTTTCTTAAGTGATGAGCACCGCAGCAGTGGCGGCGGCACCGTCCTGTGGCTTCTTTCTCACAAATCTTTTATTTTTGGCCTGAGACAGCTAATGCGTGGCCAACGTATCCTAGGTAACCAGGATGCTTGGAGCA